CCCAAGGTGAGTGCGTTATTGCCTAAGCCTAGTCTTGGCCCAGGCCCACCTACACTTGATAGATTTCATGGTCCAACAGGCTTCTTGCTGTCCTGAAATGGTCATTAGACTATTACATCTGGCCCAGCGTTTATAACCTGCTGTGGACAAGAAGAGCTAATTCAAAGCACTCTTTCTAGACACATTAGATGCTTCCTACTTTTCCCCTTGCCATTAACCACAAGTACAGCCAATCCCAGACAAAGACATAAACACTGGTCACCCATAATCCTGAATTTTTAAAAGAGCCTCAACTGAGCATTCAGAATGGGATGTATTCATGGTGTATCTGACTACATGTGCCTTCACTGTGAAACCAGACCTATCTTATCTAAACAGACACACAGAAACCATGGCTCTGATTAATGTTGTCATTTAAAACACATACCGTACCTCTCATAGGAACTGACAACATTTGAGAGAAATCAGTGTGGAAGAATAATCTGTATTCCAACTGAACAGAAAATACGCCCAGAAACAGGCGAGGATCTAGATACGTAAGTTAAATTTTCAGGGGAAAGCACGCCATATAAAGTACCCAAGGCTCCTACTCCCTTTCAAAAAGCTCAACTGGATGTATCATTTTTACTGAAAGTGGAAGCACTCATGTTTAGCTATTTAAAGAACAAAGCTGTTTGTTATGTATTAAAGGACTTAAGAGGCACAACGGCATATTAGAGCTGGTGACAGATGGAGAATGCTGGTCTTCACTGCCCATATAGAAGAGCATAAACATCAGACTGGAATAGGAATAACTTCAAGGTAAGTTGGTCATCAGTCTATCATTTCCAGCCACAACATGCTGGAAAGGGACAGTACGGGCTCTGGAGTCAGAAAGAACGAACAGGCAAAGTTCAAGCCTACCCTTTCCCAGCTGACTGACCTTAGCCCCATTCTGCACCTGTTTGCTCAACTGTGAAATGAGCCTACTTTGCAGGGTCACTACAAGGATGAAGTGGTAAAGCGTCAGGCACCGGCCTGGCTCACAGGAAGCCTTGATTCATTTGAAGCTGCTGTTAGCACCACTCCCAGCACCATAGGCTTTATGACGTGTTGGAAGGCTATCTGATCCTGAGACAGATCAATGGTGGAGGTTTTCAAGGAAAGGAAACAATAAATTGGTAATTACTTATGCGTGGTGTGATATCGGAGAGCGGCAGGGGGCCCAGATGCCCTGTGGAAAGGCAGAACCCATCCTCCCTGTATCTTCTGTGCCAGGTACCTGACTGTGAACATTTCATTCTTATAACAGTTCTGGGGAGAAAACCTGGGGCAATAGCCCTTTAAAAAGAGGCTGTCTTCTTGCCAAAAAAGAGCAGTTAATCACAGTCATGGTTACTAGGTACAGTTGTGTTCTTGATATTTTAAAAGATCCAGCAAAGAGCTTCAAGGTTCATCCAAAGTGGATAGAAAGTAGGTGGTGGGAAGCAAGGCTACAAGAGAGTTGGGAGTCATTCACTCCAGACAAGAGAGGGTTTGACAGATGCCAGACGTGTTACGTGTTAGGGTGCTGAGGGTGCTCTGCTATCTTTCCTCTCCATCCAAAAGTAGAAGGACTCCTACACTCAGTATTTTTCTTGGGTGGATGATTTCCTTTCCTGAAGCAGAGGGGTCGACCAGGTGACCTTGAGAGATCTCTTCTAGTTCTAAGCCTTTGCACAAATACGGAAGAGCAAAGAGGCACCCAACTCATCAATGTGGGGGGGGGGGTTCCAGCTGCATCTCTTTACAACGAGGCTGAGGTAGCTTGGTACAGCAGAAGGTGTGGGAGCCAGGAGTCAGGCAGGGGTGGGTTTGACCCTATCTCTGAAACTCACTCTTGGGCAAGTTATGGTAGTAAAAGAACTCAACTCTGCCCTCAGCTGTAGCATGGCGAGAATCTCTGCCTTCTAGGGTTCCTGAAAGGATTAACTGAAATAATGTTGGCAAAGCACCTAATATTTTGACTGGCACATGTAAGCCTTCGATAAATTGGAGCTATTATTCTGGTTGGTTAAAAAATGGGTTGAAAAATTAATGCCCTTCTGCTTATAGTTGTCTCATGCTAGGAAACGTACAAATTCAAGTGGGCAGACCCACAGCACCTTGGCCCACAGGATCCATGCTGCAAGTAGAGCCTGTCCGTGCCAGAGAATGTTTGAGGGGACACTTTATTAACTACCCCGGTGCGAGGAAGCAGAGGATGCTGAAGACAAGGTCTAAGTCATCTTCCTAGGACTCTGGTTTCGCTCACAGTCACTGTAAGAATCAAACGAATGATTTTTTTTTTAAAGATTTTATTTATTTATCTGACAGAGAGAGAGAGAGAGAGAGAGAGAGAGACAGTGAGAGAGGGAACACAAGCAGGGGAGTGGGAAAGGGAGAGACAGCCTTCCCACTGAGCAGGCAGCCCGATGCTCGATCCCAGGACCCTGGGATCATGACCCGAGCCAAAGGCAGACGCTTAACGACTGAGCCACCCAGGCACCCCTCAAACGAATGATTTTTAAAGAGGTTCCAAATGCATTTCCAGGTATAAGGAATATATCACATCCCACTGATTCGTCATTCACACCAAGCACAGTAAAAACATCCATCAAAAAAAGCAAGTGTGCAAACCAAAGTGATTGTCAAAAATTATAATTAGGATTTTTTTTTCCTTCCCGAATGATACAAAGCTAAAAATGGAAGTCACAAAGAAATTAATCAGCTCTTGCAAAGCAATGAAATACAGTGGCCAGAACCCTGTACCAAGTAAAAGGAACTCCTACTACTACCAGACTCTTTCACAAAATGTAATCTTTTGGTGCCACATCAATGTGGAATCACATATTTAGCATTACAGAAAGATGCTGGAGGCTGAGACAGAACAGCTCTGGGTTTTGTTCTTTACCCGTGGTGGGGTCTGTGGCAGGATGCCTGTAGGCTGCGGAGAATCAGAGAAGACAGAGGAAACAAAAGGTACAAACAAGCACATAAACTGAGGCCCACGGAGAGCTGGGCCAGAAACACGGGGGTGTTTCCTGAAGCCCCTCTGTGTCACTCAGAGGATCAGACTTGGCTTGAAGAACACATCCTGTTTCCATATCAAAGGGGGAGCAGGTTAGAGCTGATAGGACCCAATGCTACAGACAAGGGAGCAGAACAATGAAGTTGGAACTGATGGAGTCACATGAAAGAGCAGTTTATTTTTGTTGCGAGAGAACAAACACAGGGATGACCCATTGTCAAAAGACCCCAGATACATCAGGGGGCTGGACAAGGCCCCATGGGGGTGCCTGTCGATGTGAGATCGAGGCCGGCCATCGTGCCATTAAGCCAGTCCTAAGTAGGAATCTCACACGACAGTGGAGAAGCCCTTCTATTACCAAAGGATAAGAGTTACACTGTGGGGCTAAGCTGAAACTCGTTCTTCCAACTGCATAAAATTCAAGTGGCAACAAGCCGCTGAGCTGGTCAAACAGTCTGGAGCAGGTAAACCCAAACACCTCTGTAAGCTCAGCGTGAGGTCCACTGTTTTCAGACAGCTTTTTAGAAGTGAGGGTACAAGGTGTCCACAGAAATCTATGACATCCATCCTTCCTTCGCTTAAAGTCATCGTTTTATCATGTTGGCTTAGAACCACAAGATTACAAATCCGATAGCCTGGGACTTACGCGGACTTTATCATTATTTTTTTGTATGTGTGGAATACTTGGTTAAAAGAACAAAAAAACCCGAATGGCAACTAATATAAGAATCAAGAAAACCACGGAAAGAAAAGAAATTATGAAACAGGAAATTCAAGGAGAAGAAAAGTATCCACAACACCATAACCTCAAAAGTCCTCATTACCCAGGGGACGTGAAAATCAATGTTTTACTTCCCTCGTGCCTCTCTCGAGTCCTCATGAACAAACTGGTCTAAACGGCAGATTCTTTCGGTTGTGTGAACAACTTCTCAGGAAAGGGACCAGCTCTTTCAGCAGCTTTATCCAGTATTTTAGATCATGTGGATAAATGCCAGTAAAAGTCTGTTCAGAGCCTTCAGAGAGCTACTGGCTTGAAGAAAGAGAGGTACTTTTAAAAATGCCAATCTCAATACCAAGGAGGAACTCACGGCCTTGAGTATCCAATCCAATCCAATCCTGTGAGATCGCATGACATTTGATGTTAAAAGGGACAGAGGATCCATGACACCTTAATTCTAACCTTAAGATCAAATGTGTTAATTTACAATTAAGGGGTAAGAAAATCTCCTCCTTATCTGGATTTTGATAGCTTATAACACATTCACTGAGAGACCTTAAAAGTTATGGTGACAAGAAGTTGCCAAATACTTTCAGGCATTTTGACCATGTTCCTCGTCATATCAGTGTCCTAGAATCACTACAGGGATTTCACTGGATTTTTCATTCTTCTGGATTTTTCCTTGATTTTTAAAGTAAAATAGACATTAGTGCTCCAGTTCATTTGGAAATGTGCCTTGTGAATGATTTCAGAGGTATTTTTCTTTCTTTTTAAAAATGACCTTCAAATAAAAATAATAGAGTTTTCAGATAAGAAAGCCCAAGGCAAAAAACACGAGACTCTGCTAATATGGTCATGAAAAGACCAAAGAGACCTTCTGAAGTGGGGTGGCCAAGTGCTAAAATAACTTAAAACATTCTAGCAAAAGGTAAATAAATTACCATTCAGGAAAATAGCAATCAAAGCAGCTCAGGGCCAGAGCACACCAGAATCCTCCAGCTATCGTCCCAGTTTAACGAACACTGGTTGTTTTAAACGAGGGACTTCCTGGGAGGGACCTAGTGTCAAGCCAGACTGCTTTTCTTGACATCAGAAAACAGTATCATTTTTTTTTTCTTTTTTCTTAAACACAGCACAGAACCCAACACATTTCAAGGCCATATGCTGTGGCTTTTGTTGATTTATGAAGCAGCTGCAGGTTTTGGAAAGGAAATTGTACTCAAGCGCAACCGCACGGCAGCGGTCTTGGTTTACCTGCCATATGCAAAACGCCTGTCTTTGTGATGATCGCCAAAAGTATCCCAAAGCCTGAGAGAAACGCTCACTTCATCCACAACGTCCCGGGAACGCTCCAGGACCTGCAGGAGAGAGAGTGCATGCCTGCTCAGTGTCATTCAGAGGCTCCTCAGCAGAAGGATGCGCGGGTCAGCACCCTCCAGGCCCACTTGTCCCACTTGCGCTTAGTTTTCTCGTTTCATCTAACAGGACTTGAGCTAAGTCCGAATTCTCTTCCTGGAATCACACGACTCAAACCCTCCTCATTCAGGATACACGGTAGCCAGACTCCCAAGGGCGCATTTTGCGTTTGTTTTCTCTGGCGGCACTAAGAACATTAGCTTGATTTTTCATGCACAAATTACTCCGACCCCCTTTTAAAATCAGACTGGCAGCAGCAGGGACATCCCCTTAGCAGTCTAAAGAAACTCTGTACCCCTCACCTCCTGGCACACTCGGTACTGGTCAATCGCCCACACGGTAGGCACGTGGGTGGCCAGCAGCTGATACTGCGTCAGCGTCGTGTTGCACGCCCTGGCACAGATCAAGCGCGTCTTCCCCACAGCATTGTCTCCCACGACCACACACTTGATGGTTTCAACGTTGGGTCTTTCGTAGTCCATGTCAGTGTCCATTTATAAAACTCTGTAAGAAGACAGTGACAGAGCAATCAAAGACGAGAGGGATCCAGGTGCTTCTCTGGAGGTGCCCAAGCATAAGCAAGAAGTTTGGAAGTTCATACGAAAATTAACTCAAACTCAAGTTTTCTATTTATGTCTCACACAAGTACAAAAACATCACCGGATTGTTATTTTGACCCCAAATGGTTTATTCCCGTTACCATGTTATTTTCTCCTTGGTTTTCTCTAAACACAACCTGCCTACTGAAAACCCATCCAGGCAAGTCAGGACCGTTGGTACACATTTACAGTACACTAGCTACGCATGTGCACCCACGAAAGAGACCGGTCAGCTGCAGGGTTACCCTTAGACATTGGGGCGTAAGCTGCCTTGGCGATATTAGCATCCACACCATCACAATCTTCCACCGACCCCAAATCTCCCACTGAAAGGCAGTTTACTGTAGGTTCTCCACTATCATGGTGACTTAGAGGGGGATCCAAAGTGCAAGCAGAAAGGATTACTCGGCTTTAAAGAAGGGTAAATTGTAAAACTGAATTTTGATACAGCCATCAATTTATCAATATAAAATCAATTTATATTTATTCATCTATTTTTATTAATCAAATTCATAAAAATGGTATTCTCAAGAGGGGCATCATAAAGCAATATATTTTTAAGTTCTCTTTCTGCTTTCATCAAGAAATCTGGAACATATGGTAAAGAATGATTTTACCAGGATGAGGAGCTAGTTTGGAATCTTCCTGAAACCATTAAAAAGGTTTAAGAGGGTTGTTGAGTGAGGGGTCAAAAGTAAGAGAGAAAGCTGTTGCCAGCTCCCCACCCAGCTGGGGGCAGGAACCTCCATAAAATATAAAACAGACTGCTTCCTGGCAGCAGCTGGATGGGTGACCAACCATGTAAGATTTTAAGATTTTAATGAATTATAATTGCCCTTTTGAGGAAGTCTATTGTTAAATAGAGAAAACTGGTTGGATGGTCACTTAAAAAAAAAGATTTATTATTTGAGAGAGAGAGAGAGAGCATGTGAGCAGGAGAGGGGCAAAGGGAGAGGAATAGAAAGAGAGAGAGAAGTAGACTCCCCGCTGAGTGTAGAACCCAATGTGGGGCTTGATCTCAGGACCCTGAGATCATGACCTGAGCCGAAATCAAGAGTCAGACACCTAACCGACTGAGCAGCCCAGGGACCCCTAGATGGTCACTTTTAACAAGTTGAGAGTGGTTTTAATGGCCATAATGGTCAAGAAACTGTTCAGAGTAGGGCTTAATACATACCTGGGACTCAGTAAGTGTTTAAGTCACCTGATTTGAGAAAACAGATAATTTGGATAATATGAGATTAAGAGTATAGAGGGAAAGACAGAAGGAAGGTTATTAAATAGAATGAATACTTTTTCCCAGTCAGGACCATCTGAACACGAGATTGTCTCCTGTTAACACCATCACAGGAGGTGTTAAATCTGAGGCTAGAGACTATTTGGCGAGAATTGAGTGGAGTGATTCAAAGAACAGATGTGTGGTGAGGTCAGGATCTGGTCTGTGGTTTAAACGCCAAAGAGAGGCTTAAAATAGACAGATACCTGTTCCCCACCTGGCAAATGCAGATTTTGAAGGTCTTGGGTGGAAAAAGAGGCTTAAGAAAAACTTCAATTCAGTTCTGATGATCATTCACATGTGGTGACTCCTCAAATTGATCTCTTCAAAATCTAGCCTATGGTTTTATTAGTTCCCGATTTCATAGTATAATGGGGCACAAGCCTGACTTTGGGATTGGACCAGTGGTCCTTAAATATCTGCTGGGGAACATTTAACAAAGTCTGGGGATATATTTGGTTGTCACAATGGGGTGGGGGAGTGCTACTGGCTTCTAGTGGGTAGAGGCCAGAGATGCTTTGAAACATACTACAATACAAGGGACAGCCCCCACCACAAAGAATAATCTGACCCCAAATGTCAAGAGTGCTGAGGTTGAGAAATCCCTTCCTTCGAGGGGATGTGAGTTTGAATCCTAGTCTCCCCATTTTCCAGCCATTTGCCATTGGGTGAGGTATTTGCGCTTTTAGCCTCAGCTTCCTCATGTGTTAAATGGGAATTCTAGTACCAGTCTCCTCAAGTAGTGAGGGTTAGGTGAACTGATGTAGCTGACACACTGATGACCCCAAAGATTATAATTATGATGAAGAAGATGAACACCTTGAATTGAGTCAGGTAGGAAGACCCGAATTAGACTCAAAATCAGAAACCTAATAACCACAAAGATCTATAAAAAGGATACATTTTAGTAGAGTAATTAAGGAGTAGTTCACTGAAAAACAAAGAACATAGGTACAAGATGGAGCATATATCTGATGTTACGCAAAGAAGGCAAAAGAGTTCTGGGTGGGAGCTGGACATAATTAGCTAAATGACAATGCAGTTGGAAAGGTAGGTTAAAAACATTTGGGGCACCTGGGTGGCTCAGTTGTTTGGGCGTTTGCCTTTGGCTCGGGTCATGATCCCAGGGTCCTGGGATTGAGCCCTGCGTCGGGCTCCCTGCTCCGCGGGGAGCCTGCTTCTCCTTCTCCTCCCCAATCATGCTCTCTTCTCGCTATCTCTGTCTGTCTCTCTCTCAAATAAATAAATAAAAATCTAAAAAATAGTATTTTTCTGGGGTATTTCTAGATTCTAGAATAAAAATGGTAACAATTGTTATTGATAAGAAACTTGATATGTTTCTGCTGATACTACCCAGGGGCACCCTGTGTCAGAAAAACAGGATCTATTTAGAGCCCCACAACTGTGGAACCTGAGGTATAGTATTTTGATTGTCCTAAGTGGTAGAAAACCTTTCTCTTTTGAAAGTGAATTTTATTTTTTAGGTAGATAAAAATCATAGAGAGCCAATCCTTAAAATTTGGGGGCATGTTTGGATTTAGTCAAAACTGAAATAGACACAAAAAAATACATGGTTGGGGGCGCCTGGATGGCTTAGTCAAGCGTCTGCCTTCGGCTCAGGTCTTGATCCCGGGGTCCTAGGATCAAGCTCCGCATTGGGCTGGCTCTCTGCATCGGGAAGCCTGCTTCTCCCTCCCTTACTCCCCCTGCTTGTGTTCCCTCTCTCTCTGTGTCTCTCTCTGTCAAATAAATAAATAAAATCTTTAAGAAAAAATACATGGTTGGTCTTCTTGTTGGCTTGCAAACTAGCTTTGAGAGCAGCCCCCAAAAAGGAATCCCTCAAATAATTTGAAACATGACAGAGTTGGTGGAATAGCTGTATAGCTTTCACAGAAGACACACTGAAGTGGATAAAAGCTCTCCTGGTTTTGTATTAAGGCTATGATTACAAAAATATCATTACTTATTTATAGACACATCTTATGCACAGTTCTAAAAAGAATTTCTGTGTCAAAGGTGAGAATAACACCCGTGGGTCCTCTAATCTCTAGCAATCTGCTCAAAATTGAAGTTACTATCAAAGGTGCTGGGCCAACAAGTAAGGGAAATAAAAGGCAGGGCAGAATTCAACACTCATAGCCCAGGTCACTCACTCGAGACATGGCATTTCCAGGAAGGGTTTTCTGGCTTTCCAAATACTTAAAATCTTTTCTTTTGGGTAGAAATTTTCTTTTGTGGTAATGTGAAAATACATCTATGCATGTATTGTAAACCCACTGTTTATCTGTTACACATAAATATTAAATTATGGTAATTATAAAAATATGCAATTTTATCCTTCTTTACTTGTTATGGGCTCAATTTATTGCTATTTGGGCACTCTTACGGTTGAATGAGCTCTTAGGACCATCTGGTTAATGACTATCTGGTTTCTGATTTTTATTTACCTAGAATGAGAGCAATAAATATTATTCACTTAACACTGTTAATAAATTTCACCACCAGGATTCCTGCTGATCAGGGCAGACATACTTTTACCTTCAGATCCATATCTGAGGAGACAAAGAAAGTATAGTGAAAGAAAAAGAAAAGCTAGGAAGGACAGACACTGGTAACCTGTTACTATGGCAGCTTTGTAATGTTACTCAAACTGACTTGGACTTCGTTTCATACTTTCACTGAATCCTGGGGACATGCACGCTGACCATGAAGTGCTGAAGAAGGTATCCACACATTCTGGACATCAGACCGGGACGTTTATTAAGACTGGCGAGTGAGTAAGATAGTGTGGGGGGTGGGGAGTGAGGACTCAGTGAGGGGGTGCAGGGTGGCTGTCCCCTGGGTGCTGGTGCCCACCATCCCCAGGCTGCTTAGAGACTGTGGTCATGACCTCCTGGCTGTCCAGCCGCCCCAGGTGCCCACGCCATGATTACTGTCGCCTTCTGGACATCACGTCCCTCCTCCACATTCACCACCAACTCAGCTTTCTTGCTGTGTCCACAGGGTGATGTGTCCCACACTCTGGCCCCACAGTCCCTCCGCCTCTTCAGCACCAGTGACCTTCCACGCACTCTCTTTGAGCCCCTCATACTTTTGGTCATGTGCTGGACATTGTCAGCCAAAAACATTTTACCCCTGAAATCTCAAGTTTCACTCAAAATCCTACTCTTAAAGGAAAAACACCTCTCTTCACGGCCTGCGCTAGGGGAAATGTGGTCACAACAGCAACTCTCATCAGGAGATGGAATCTATTTCCCTTTGTCTTGAATTCGAGCTATGTGACTGTGTGGCCCGATCCAGAAGAATGTGGTGGTGAGGCTGTGTGGGTTCCAGAACCGACATCTCCAGACGCCCTGCAGCTCCACCCTCACGCTGCGGGAATGCTGTCCTGAGGCTGTCATGTCAGGAAGCCGGCTAGGCCTAGCAGAGGAATGGAATTCACAGCGAGAGTAACCGTGGTCGCCTGCCTATGGCTTTACCACATGCCACAGAGTGTGCTACTTGCACCCTCCGGCCCGGCCAACTCTCCAGCTGAAGGAAGCTTTATGAGTGAGCCCAGCTAAGGAATCACCTAGGCAACCTACAGATTCATGAGAAAGTACAGATTATTGTTTTAAGCCACGAAGCTT